TCCTCGGAAGGAAGGTTGGGCAATCCTACTTCCGTAGTGATACTGCCTCGGAAACCCAAGGAGGGGTCGCTATGAGTCGGGGCCGACTCGACGGCACACAACAACAACAGCAACAACATGGATGAGCATCCAGTCTGATGAGGCAGCAGCTTAGAGAACGCCACCAAACATGGGCAGATCCCAAGCTCAGAGAGTGCCACTGGAAGGGCGGAGCTGCCTAAAACTTGAGGCCTGGAGTTGCTGTTATCAGGGATGGAGTGGGGTGTCCAGGTTACTACTCACTCCAGACTCTAGCAGGGTACTGCATTACGTGAGGATCTCTGTCCAAGCTCCCTTATCTAAGCCAAAGGCACTGATAGTTCTACAAATCAAGCCATCAAAGCTCCAAGAACTGGAGGGCATTCAGCCCCCAGCAAGTCTTGGGAGGAAAAAGTGATCCTGTCTTCCTATTTCTGAAGGGCTGTCATGCAACTTGTTTCATGTGTCTTGAGAGGGCAGGAGTCAGTCTGATATGAAGAACTTCCTTGGATCACCTCTAACACCAATTATGAGGTCGGTATGCGAGTATGGTGGGAAACTCCTTTAACACTATATTTGTGAACGGCAATTAGAGGACTGTGGGTTGGGGACAGTGTGGATTAGATGCCCTCTAACGTCACTGCCATTTCAGATTCTATGATCCATCTATTGATTAATTCAACAATAGTTAAGAGGGTGCCAGATACCTCCAAACTCTGTCCTTCTAACCCCAGCTTGAAATGTGTTCCAGAAGCTCTGGGGAACTGGAGGGCACCCTTGGACTTTTGGGGACTGGATACACCTCTCCCCTCACCCTTTGTACCTGACAGGCTTGTCTGGGTTTGTTCGTTAATATTCATTCACTCAGCAAGGAACACACATAGACAAATATATATTAATAATACATACGTAAATGTTACAAGAAGTAAGTGCTCAACTAGTGAATGAAGGACAGAGCATCTATATGGATTGATTGTTTTGTGCTGTGTAGTAGTACCTTGTCTCTTTCATTCTGAAGACTTCACAGAGGACAGCTACGTTTCCCCTTTCAGAGCCTAGAATTCCCGAGGTAGTTACAAGCTATATTTCCTTCTCTTCCTGTGTCCTCTCAGCTATTATTATAGCCAAAACTTTTATGAAACATGGATTGAATCAATCAAAAACAAAGCACAATAAAGATCATGGTAGGTAGGTGTGTACTCATGAAAGAATAAAGGTGAATACCACTGTGGCTAATGCCAACCCAAATAGTGCCCTAAACCTAAGGAAAGGCTAGTACCTCCTGGGTATGCCAGCTTCTTGAGCTTAAAGGTGACTGACCATAAATTGCCTTAGAGAGACGACCAAAGCTGATAATGGGTCAGGATGTACACATGGTCTGTGAAGACAGGTCTACTAATGCTTTTATGAGACCAGATAAAAGCCAGGAGTGGCAGAACTTGCCTGGGAAGAACTGGTGACACCTTGAGAGCATCGTATTGCTGAGAGGCTCCTTGCGACTCCTGAAGCATACTAGCTGCCCATTTACAAAGCTATTGAAGGGTAAAATGGAATGAGTGTGGGTGCTGTTGGTAAGTGTGGGTGCTGTTGGTAAGTGTGGGTGCTGTTGGTAAGTGTGGGTGATGATGGAATAAGTTTGCATATGGTAGGGATGAACACAAGAAATTTGTCATTAAATACTTGAAACATGCCCGTTTGTTGATAAGAATCCTCAAGTTTTAAAACGAGTAATCAGAACAGGCTAGTGTCCCCAGAGGAGATGGGGTTCTGTCTGCTGGCTGGGTCTCCACAGCAGCAAGTGTTTTCCTTTTACTAGTTTCCTCCTCTCTTAAGGTAAAAAAGAGAAACTTAGCTCGCCTTCCTGATTTTTCTTCCACCTGACTTTCTTGTAGCCTGGCTTCTCTTGAAGACTGTCCATCAACTACCCTGAGAGGCCCCTGGCTCCTTTCAAATTTTTTAAAAAGGCTGAAACTCTTCAACTCCCATCTCCCTACCACCCCACCCCCATAAAAGAGAAGTTGAAAAAAAAATGTGCAAGCATATGGCTGTTCAACAGTAGACTGTAGTTTCTTCCTAGGGACTACCCCAGGCCTGCTGCTGTGGTGAGTGGAGTGCTGTGCTCTGTGGGCTGACCTTGGATGACATGGATACTTTTGAAGGAGTAGTCAAGGGGGGGCTCCTGCACCGAAGTCTTCATACAGTCCCGTTTGTTCATATCTCATGCCATCATTTGTCATGTGCATGCATGGGCCCTGGGAGTCCGGGTGTAGCCTGCAAGGACAGAGAAGGACTGTTGTTCCAGGTATAAGGGACATTGGCCCTCAGGCCTCTCTGTAGCCCTCAGCCCTTGCTTTCTACCCTCCATTACTCCAGGCCTGTTTGACTACATTTCCATTTTAAGACACTTATCCTGGTTCCTTGCATTTGTAGAGCATGTCCTATTTCTCAGAGTGTCTTCACATATCTTAGACCTCATTTGATAGGACACCCATTTCCATTTTCCAGATGAAGAAACTGAAACCTAAGGGGTGAAGGGACTTGCCCAAAGTTAAGCCAGTGATTCAGTTGTGGACTGTAAGCATGATTCCTACTGAGGCCCTCTCTTCTACTTCACTAAAGTTACCATGGAGATTGTCTTGGTACCTAACCTCTGGTGACATCAACTAGGCTCTTCTATTACTTAACAAATCCCTAAGGCCCTGCACTAGATGACAGCCCTTTACAGTGACTCAGCTAGGGGTTTATTAACTTCTCTGCTCAGCCTATCAGCCTATCCCATTACCTTTCATCCAAAGACCCTACTTTCAGTCACATTCTTCATCCAAAGACCCTACTTTCAGTCACATCCTGAATGTAGTCACATATATATAAACACACATATAGAAAAAAAATAGCATAGTGGCTAAGGCACTTGATTGCTGACCAGAAGGCTGGCGGTTCAAACCCACCAGCCACTCCCCAGAAGGAAGGTTGGGCAATCCTACTTCCGTAGTGATACTGCTTCGGAAACCCAAGGAGGGGTCGGTATGAGTCAGGGCTGACTCGAGGGCACATAACAACAACAACATAGAAAACAAAACAGTCTATCACTCACCTGTCACTGAGGCCTGAAATTCCACCATTGGCCATTCATTCCTTTGGTTCAGAGATTGTTCCCTGTTGAAATACCCGCTGAGAAGAGGGGTGAACACAATGTTACCAAGTCATTTACAATTGGTGTGAATCATTTTATCAGATCCTTTCCAACTTGTTAAGTCTAGAACAGATGTGGCAAGAAACTAGAGAGATTCATGAGAACAGTACTCACCTGGGGAGAAGAAAAGTGAAAGCAAACTTTTACAAGGGGTTTTGTATGGGACACAAAAGTTTTAGTGGTATGTTTTATTTCACCTAAATGTATCTAGAAACATCACTTCAACATGTAATCAATATTAAAAATAATTATTTACAGTATAATTTACAGCACATCTCAATTTGGACTAGATAATCTAAGTCAAGTGCTCAAAAGCCACATGTACTAGACAGTGCAGATGTAGAAAATTTAAAATGGAAGAGAGAGATTAGAAGCCAGATTAGAGGAAGAGGGAGATACATTGGGGAATTTAGGAAACGAAGCCTATAGTCTGAAATTCCCAGCAGCCAAACCCAAAAGGGAAACCTTGAAATACACAGTTCTCATCATTTGATTCAAAGAAGCAGTCTGTATGCAGAGATGATAAAATTGGCAAATGTTCTTAAAATGGAATTTGTCAAAAACCTAAGGCCAATAACTTGTGATTCAGTTTTAGCTACATTAATACAACTCATGCATCACTTTGTGGTGATTTAACATGCAAGGACAGAGTTTCAACAGATTTAGAGGGACAGAGACCATCTTCCTCTCAAAAAGCAGCAGTCTCAACTAGGTTTTAGGAAAGTGCCAGTTGGAGTCACTTCACAGCTGAATTCTCTGGAAAGTGTTGGACTGGCCTAGTGGGTACAGGTTGTCGACCATGGAGGCCTGAATCTTTTAGATGTCAAATCTACAGGCAGACGACAAAGAACACATTATTTTGTATACTAGAGGAAACTGGCTTGTGTTCTTACTCAAAGAAAAGTCCATCCCATCCCACTTCAACACCTATAACAGGTTTGGTGCCTCCAGATTTCTGGAGAATTGATGCTAAGCTGTTTCAACAACTGGCTTCAAGGTTCAGCTGTTTCAGTCCACATACCTCATTCAGAGTAAAATATTCAACTCAATTCTACAAACATTTGTTGAGTACCTGCTGCCCTGTGCTCGATCACAGAAGGAATGAAGCCAAGATACAAATAATAAAATCCTGTCTGTCCTAAGCACAGAAAGACCTGCTGAGTTTCTATTGATTGTGGCAAATCAGGCTGCATCCAGTTCCAAGTAACAGCTGCCTGAATACACTCATGTTTCAATACTCAGCTCTAATGTACCCTCTTCTGTGAAGCCTTTCTTTCCTAGATAAAAATTATCATTGTGTTCTGTGTGAGACTGATTGCATGCATGATCCTTACTCATGGTCTCCCCATATATTCAGCCCTTTGATAACTTTGTAGTTCTATTCCACTCCAATGCTGGGCCCAGCCACGTGACTTGCTTTGGCCAATGGGATACTGGCAAACATGAAGCCAACAAGCTTGAAAAGAAGACTTGCCCTCTTGCTCTTTGCCAGTGCCATGAGAACATGGCGGGCCTGCTGGAGGGAAATGAGAGACATGTGCATGTGAGAGATATATCTAAGAGAGCCAGTGATCCCAGCTGAGGCCATCCTAGAGTAGCCAACAGCCAGCCTACCCCCAGTAAAGATCAAGAGGGTGACACAGGTATCTACAGCCAAGTGCAGACACATGAGTGAGCTCAGCTAAGACCTGAAGAAATATGCTCCCTCTGAGACTTGGAAGCAATAATACTTATTTTTTTAAGCCACTGTGTTTTAGGATGGTTTGTTACACAGCAACAGGCAACTGATACATACCTCCACTGGACTGTTAACAAACTTTTACCACAGGCTATTTCCTCATCTGTGAGGGATGTATGGAGAGAAACCCCACCTAGAGAGCCACTGTCTTTCCTGCAGCAGGTGTTCAAAAAGTGGGTGCCATTGCACTCTCTGAACTTTTTTTTTTTTTTTAATATTTTCATATTTATTTGCAGTGTCAATTTTTACACTAACGTAATTGAGAAGAGCAAGACAACCATTACTTTTTCCATTTTAAATATCAAAATCTTGAGGCAAAGAAACACAATATACAATGTTTAAAATAGGAAAAGTGCTTCAGAATATATATATTGGCGAGAATTAAGTGTGTCTTGAGCAAGTTGTTTCATTCTAGGTTCAGTTTCTCGATATGAAAAATTAAGTATACCTCTTGGTCAAAATGGTGGATGAAAGTTCAAGTAAAATATACCTACCCCTAACTCCAAATATAGAATACAATAAATGTATTTATTTTTAAATAAATACAGAGAGACATTAAAAATTTTAAAAAAAAATGTAGAGACCAAAAAAGGCAAAATATACATGTATGGGCAGAGGTTGAACCCCAATGCTTGCCAGGAAGTGGCTATGTATTGAAGACTCTAGCTGAGGCTCCAACACCCTCAAATGGGAACATGTAGGCTCCCTCACGTGGGCTCAGGCTGCCTCACACAGACTGACTAGAACATTCCCTCTTGCCTGTCCAAATAAATTGCTAGAAAGATGCTGCTTTCCCAAAGCTTATAGCAAAATTGAGACTCTGGCAGGCTCCCAGGCTATTGTAGACATTGCATTGAAAATAGAATTGTCAAAAAAAAAAAAAGGAATTGTCAGCTTTTTGAGAGAACCCCACAAGAGCATTAGAATTCTCATTCAAGAAACAGGAATAATAGAAAAATCTGAACAGAAGTTTAAATATCAGCATCTTTGAAATTCTCAAAAAATAAAGGATATATATTTATTCATTCATTCAACTTGACAACCACTTATTAGACACCTAGTATATCTCCAGAAAGGAGCTCTCATGGTGCAATGGTTAAAACATCTGGCTATTAACTAAAAGGTTGGCAATTCAAACCCATCAGCCACCCTGTGGGAGAAAGATGAGGCAGTGTGCTTCTGTACATCTACAGCCTCAGAAACCCTATGGAGCAGTTCTACTCTGTCCTATAGGGTCACTATGAGTTGGAATTGACTCAATGGCAGTGGGTTTTATAACTCCAGACAGTAGGTACTGGATAAATCAAGAATAGGTGGTTATAGAACAATGATTTAGGAACCAATTAAAGTTCTTGGAAATAGAAAATGTAGTTATTAAAATAGAAAATTCAACAGTGGCTTAAATAGCTGATAGGATACAAAACCCCCCCAAAAAAATTCCCAAATGAAAGAGGAATGAGGAAATCTCCCAGGATGAATACAGAGTGGCAAAGTGGTAGAAATGATGAAAGAGAAATTAACAGACATGCTAATGTCTGAGGCTGAGAAGCACCATGTGCCTATTAAGATTTCAGGAGGGGAAAAATGGAAAGAATAGGAGGGACTAAAAGAGTTAATAAATGGCTGAAATTCTCCAGAATCAGACAGATAGGAGTCTTCAGATTAAAGACTCCCATTTGTACTTATTTCTTTAAAACCTACTTTTCAGTCCTCCTCTGTAAGTATAAAGATAGAGACCAAAAGTCAGACCACTTTCTCTGTTCCCACAATTACCCTGCAGTGAGCCTGGCAAAGAATGGGTATTCAATAAAGGCTTGTTGGACAAATGGAAAGTGGAAATATGAAGGGTGTCTTCAAGGTGACACATAGTAGGCCCAACTTTAGGGAGAACCTACAAAGCCTAAATGTTGCCTTGCTCACTCCCATGGATGTATTTTTGGAGACAGTTCTTCACAGATGCAATTCTGCCTCATGACCAGGATGCTAGTCAGATTCCAGAACTATCCTTATCTGTCCAGAATGACTTGATGGATGATAGGGTTATCCTGATGGATGATAGGGTTATTCAAACCTGCCTTGTTTTGGAATTGGAATTTTTCTTTTCCAAATTGGAAATATCTTCTAACTCTTTTTAATTATAAGGGTAAACATGATAGCTGAATAAAAATTGAACAACAGAGAAGTACATCAAATAGAAACAAAAGTCTGGATCTCTAACTTACAACTATCACTATTAATTGGGAATATAACTTCTTAGAATGCATAAAGATTATACATTATGTGT